TGTGTAGTATATATGTACTTATTTTCGAATACAAATTTTTGTCTACGATTTCGAAAGCACGGATCAACCAATTTGAATTATTCACTCGATTCATATTGATAGAGAGACGTGCTGATTAGTTTTTGGCAAAGACTGATCTAGCCGTTCCGAAGATACGGGGCAAAAAGTGCCAAAAATGGTAATTCAGTTTTTAAGAAAACAAAGCGTCTGATTTGATTAATAAAACAATTGTATTGACAGAATGAAGATATGGTTAAGTTTTTGGGGAGACAGGTCCATCGGTTTCGGAGATACAATAAAAAAAAGCTTTTAAAAGTGCAGGTTGGCGAAAAAAGTATCATCAGACATATGGACAAAAGTTTTCAGATATTTTATATAAATTTTAATAATGAGTATTAGTAATTGGTACATATCTGTTGTATCCGTACCAAGATTTAACCGTTAAAATGCAACGCGGAGCTTACGCGCTTTGAAATTTTCTTAAAAAAAAGTCACGCAATCGCTTTAAAAAAAAAATGAAAAACATTTTAAAGCTTTTGAAAATTTTAAATTACCGTACGGGAATTTTCAGCAATTTGCCTTAAGGGGGTTGTTCGGTTTTTATTTATGTTTTTTAGATTTTGAGATTTTTTGATATTATGAAAGCTAAAAACCTTAGAATTATTTAAAAAAAAATCATCTCAATATCTATTTTTTGACGAAGTTATATATATATATATATATATATATATATATATGTATGTATGATCCTCTGAAACCGTTTTTTTCATCGCTCCGGAGCTATTGTATGCCAGCTGCTCTCTTTTTCATTATAACAGCTCATGCACATGACCTTTTTAATGCATCTTTGAACACCATGGTGTCTTTAGTACATTAATTTAAATGGTGTATTTAGTACATTATATTAAAAACTTTAAATACGTTTTTCTCAAATTGACTTTTTTCAATGCGGTGCCACAAATTAAAAAAAAAACTACAAGTCGATCGCCTTGCATTTTTTTTAATTTGTTCACCACTGCAATACCTAGTCTCCCTACCTCAAACAACTTGATAACATCACGCAAAAAAAAAATTGCGAAGCTTCTCGCCCCAAAAAAGGTCTTTTTCAACACTTTTTTTAAATAGCTGCCATTTTTTTCCTTCTTGCTTTTTTTCTTTCATTTTGGTATGGGGACTGGATTCAAACTTCTTCTTCAACGTAGTTTCTTTTTTTTGTTTCAGGCGATGAAAAAGAAAAAGAAAATTTCGTAATATTCTATGATTTTGTAATTTTTGTTTAAAAAATTTCTAGGAAAACAAAAACAAATACCTTGCATTTTTTGTAAAAAAAAGAACAACCTCCTTAAGACACCATGCATGCCATGCACCATTAGTAATTTGGTTCATTTTATTGATTTAAAATACATTTTTTGAGTGCTTAATTGTATTAAACATGTATGCGTATTTTATTCATTCGCAATATTTTATCAAAGCTATCTTAATTAAGATTTCCTGTCGTCATTCTCTACGTACTTCTCTATAACTATAGTGGTTTTGGCACTCTGCAAATGTGTAAGGTTGGAAACCGCAGGTGTAAATCGTGGACGGGTGGACGTGTACGTACGTGTTGCCCCGCGGACGCCTGTTTGGGTGACGTGCACCGCGCACGGGACGCTGCCGCCTGTCACTGTTCCGCATCCGTGTTATTTGTTGCGCTCGGCGCTCGGCGGCCGTCGTGCTGCACTGTCATATTGCGCCCGCGGCCTATGGGCTCTTCTACTTCAGATTAGCACGACAAGAGGACACGACACGCCGTTTGACACTGACAACGGGTCAAAGTAATGCATTCATAACTCATTAATAAATCCGAAAGTGAAAATGCTTACGATTAGTTGTATTCGGTATCATATTATCAAAATTGTCTTATCTGATTTTGCGTTTAATTGTAGAGGAATCTATCTGTTAAAATTAAAACAATAATATATTTCTACGCCTGTTGGTACCATCACTTGTTATTCATGTGTAATCATGCACAGTTATATATTATATGAGCATATAACTAATTTTAGAAACTTAGTAGGGTAGAGCGGGGCTTAAAGGTCTGCGGGTAAAAATGTATAGGGTAGGGCGGGGCTAGTTGAGCAAATTTTTACTTAAACGGATGTAGCTCCCCAACGAAAAGTCTCAATAAATTGCTATACGGCTTAATGGATTTGTCGTTTATCGCTTAAAAAAAGTGTTGATACTATTTTTGGTAATAAGTAAAATTTAAAAGCTACAGCTGTTTAAATGCAAAAAGTTAAGTATGCTCAATGTACCCCATAGGTGAAGCAAGTTGAGCACTAAGAAAGAATAATGGAATCATAGGTTCAATGTCGATTACTGATGAAATGAAATAAGTTTTTAATAACCAGTGCTATATTTATCGTCTTTATTGACAGAGAAAACAAAACTTAAAGTAATTTGCTTTGAATAATTAACCAAAAGTAGAATCAACAAAATAATATTGTATCTTAGGAATTATTTTACCATTATCTTCCGTATTTTTGTTTAAAATCATTATTTCTTTATAATATTACTCATACACATAGCTTAAATCTTAAAAATAATAATTAATTTCTGGAATTCAATGGTAATTGTCATAGTGACAGAACAAGTTCAGCAACTATGCTCAGCTAACCCCAACTCGGAATTTCAAAATAAAAGTGAGTTTATAAAAAAATCGTGAGAATTATACCCAGAATCTCTGTACATATTTAAAGTACTATAATTATATGGAAGGATAACATTTACCTGATTAAAAATAAATAACATTTGACTAAACCAGACGAAAACTCGTGATGAATTACTTTTTTACTTTTCGGTCTCAAAATAAACAAAACGCCCGTGAGCCTCACTCATTTGTCCAGCGGCCACTTGCGATCGCGGGATGTTTATTTCTCCCAAATCTCTATCTTTCCGCAATATAATGCCTAAACGGACGGTGAATAGTTTTCGAGATATTTCGATTGCTCAACTTGCCCCTATGCTCAACTAGCCCCGCTCTACCCTACTTACCACCGATAAGAAACTAATAAAGTATTTTTCAACAATATTTGAAAGTAGAGGGACGAAGTGGAATAACCAACCATCACCTTCATTTTGACGACGTTGCTATCGGGAAATATGTTTATTTTGTTTGAAAATCTATAACAAAAGTATTTTCTTTTGTTGTTAGCTTTTTTGGTTGTGAGCACTGTTGCTTTGTTGTTTACGAGGTTGGTGGTTACAAGGTTTGTTGTTGTTGTTTACGAGGCCTTGATATAATGTTTAAGTATACTCTAATAAATTATAGTTAGTTTTATAACATGTATTATTATTTTTAAGTTAGATTCAACAGTTTTTTTTATATAACCTCTATAAAAACTCACACGTGGGCGGGGTAAAAGAGCCCAACTGAACCCTTGCTCTGGCAAGGTGTAAACAATAATAAATACTCAATAAAAAAGTAAATTAAGTTTAAAAAAGACAATTTTACAAGAAATAAGTTCAATAAATAGTTATTCCAACTCTGCTGATGAATATTTATGATTAAATACCAGATCAAGGTTATATACAGTGCTATCTTAAAAATGTATCCAGGAAATTAATATTTTGCTTTGGTTGACTAATATAGCTATTATTTCGTAAAATTCCTTTGAAATTAAAAATAAGACATTGGATCTGTTTGCCATCTAACCGTTCGATTTTACCCTGTCTATGGAAAAATATGGACCAAATGACAAATTTTTGAAAAACAGCAAAAAACACAATTGTACAATGATGAATCAGCTAGGAGTTTTACTGAACATAGTAAGATAGTTGTTTGTTTGATATATGTTATTTATTGCAACAATATTGATTTGGTTTTTTCAATATAATTGTTCAAAGTCAAATTAAACCTTTATGCTCTAACTCCAAAAAAATTAAGCTTGAAATAAATGATCAAAAATAGAGTGTTGCGCTATTCGTTTATTTCTATCATTAAAAAATCATCTATTTCTTTATTCTTTTGAATATTATGCTAAATGTAAGTGTTATTTTTTGGATTGAGAGAAAAAAAATCTTTTTTTAGAAAGAAATCAAATTAAAACGATGGAGAAAATAATAAAAATATTTCTATACCAGATTACAGAACATAGGAAATGATCATTTTTTGTCATGTATCACGATACATTTATAGGAGCTACAATAATCATAGATGATTTAGATGAACTGAAAACATAAGTTTAAAAATAAAAATGTTATGAAAATATTTCATGGACTGATAAAGCTAGTAATTTTTTGTTAAAATTAATATTTTATAACTGTTAATTATTAAAAGTTAATTGTTAACGAACTATTGTCTTTTTTGAATGAACTCTATTTTGAATGATAAAAATATTGATCGTAATTGATATTCAATCTATATCTTTAAATTGAGAGAAGAAATAAGATTTGGTCTCGAAACTTATTATTTTTTCTGCTATAAACTATTCACCATAAAAGTTAATGTACAAAAATAAAATTATTTAAATTAATTTTATATAATAAGATTGGCGTTAATCAAATAAAGAAGTCTATATTTTTTAAAAATGAAGAAATATAGAAATATTTAGAAGTATAGAAGTATTCAATTTAAATAAAGTATTTCATTAGATAACAAAGATCGATTTTTAATTTTCAAATCGCTAGAAGTGCTTTCAGACACATTATGATAGCTGATAAGAAGAGAAGGATACTGATGTTTACATATTTATATTATCTCTACTATGTCTATATGTTACATAGTACACGCGTGGTAGATAGAGATACATCTAATATCACATTTACATATAAACAACTAGTACAAAAGCATAGAGGAGAAGTGGATAATCGATCAGTTTTATATATAAGAATTCTTATATCTGTAGATCAAAAGTATGCGAATATTACGATATGATAAAATGGTGCATAAAATATAATGAATTCCAATTAACAAATAATAGTAAATTTTATACTCATAGTTATTAATTTTGTTTCAGATGTGGGAGGTTAGATGGTGAGTCCTAGCTGTGGCTGTCAGATTTAGCATTCGATTAATTAACAAAATAGTAGATATAAACTACTCACGACAGATCGGATATAAAAAGGTAGGTACATCTAAATAAAAAATACTCATTCCATTATTATCGACAACTATCGGCCCCATAGAATCACTAAGATAGTGATTCTATGGGGCCGATTCTGCCGTAAAATAGACAAATGTCACGTAGGGGCTATGTTACGTAGCACTTCTCATGCAAAATGATATTAAATACTGTCAAAATGCCATGTGGTTGCTGTGCAGTCAAACGTTTTGGATAGAAAAACTTGTCTAGAAAACGCACAAAAGTCAAAAAAACAATGTTATTATAACTGCATCTCTGTGATGTGGCTTAATAACATATGATTGAAGTTACATTTTATGTGTAGAACTACATGTGTAACCGCACATTATTTAATAAACAACAACATATTTAACAAAAATTTGGTGATTTTTAAATGACTTTATAGTTTGTGTGCATTTCGGTCCCTGCTTTCCACCAATTCACGAAATTGTCGTATTCTTCGAACACGGTATTATGCATCGAATATTTAGACTGTTTTTCAGAATTTTGTTGCGAAATATATTTAAAAATAATCGGGCAGCATAAGTAGCAACCACCTGGTATACGCGCATTGTGTTTTTTGTTCTCGCGCGATTAATAATTTATCAACAGTTGACCTTTAGTTGTCCTTGACTTTTACAAAGATCTGCGTAATGCTAATGATGTTTACATTAAAATCCGAACGAATCCTTTGAATAACTTTTTGTCATTACTAAGCAAATTTGAACGCCAAATTACCATTCATCGCAGGTAAACGATATTTTAAAATAATTACTAAAGTGGTTTTACCATTGTTTTAAATACTAAAACACAAAAAATGAAATAAAAATGAATGTTTTATTTATTATATACAGAAGATGTGATATATTAACCACCATCTGAATTTAGAAAGACACACAGAGGTCATTTACTCACCTCAAATAAACCTTATACTCACATTGAAAAAAACTTTTTTACAATTTCGATTTGTAAGTCATAAATTTCACAAGAAAGTATACGAGTATGCTATACGAGAGAAAATATATCATTTCTGGAACCAGTAGGAGAGGCTGGGTATGCTTGTACTTGGGTACGGTAGTGACAGTTGCCAATTATACTGATTTTGACATAGGGTCCAGAGGGGGAAAGATGTAGTATATTTGTTTGAGCATGTTCCCATTATTGCATTCAGTTTACGCCCTACATTAACTAGATCTGTAAATCACATAGCTTTCAAAGAGTCAAAATAAAGTTTCTTTGTTCGATTTCTTTTGATAATAACTGTTTCTTGTATACAGACTGATCGCTTTGTTTGTTTATTTAGGTTTAAGTTGAACATTGGTTGTTCTCAAAAGTATACGTTGGGCACATTGTGACAAATGTACTCATAAAGGGTACGGTTGTGACATGTATTTCTTATCCTTCTTGGGTGAAGTTTGAACAGATGAAGAAAAATCTCATTTAACTATGACCAAATTCGAAAGAGAAAGAAAGAAAAAGATTTGACAAAGATTTCTTGTTCGCTTTGGTTAATAAATTATGTTTTGTCGTATCTTATTATATTATACTCATAAGCTTTGTTTAGATGATTATGTTGACAATAAAAATAGTTTTATACCACTTTGGTGTTTATACCTACTATGTTTTAACCTATTTTTATGCCTGTCACAACCGTCCTGTGGGTGTGGTCTATTGTTATACTCGCCCTTTTCTTGTATGATTCGATTTCATTACTAATCCATCGTATTTTTAAGAAGAGTTTTTTGTGTTTTCACGTAGACAAATGTTCAAATTACCATTTAATTTTCTATGCTCCGAGCTAACTAACTGTAAATTAACAAAATTATTTCTAATCAAAAATGGTGGCATAACAGTACCCAGTCTGCCCTACTACTTACAAAATCGAAAATATCGACGAAAACTTATATTTTGCATATTTACACACTCAGACACTTCTTCCAATTTCAAGTCAGACGATACAAAATGACTTGAAACATAGAGAAAATGTAAAATCAGCTACTCTGGCGAAAACATACACTTTTACTTTGGGAACTTATAATAAGGACTAAATATGCTCATGTTTTAGAAATTAAAAAATGAATAGTAAAATGTACTTATAATACGAACACTGAGGTTATTAGGTCATTACGTATAGACTTAGACACATTCTTTCTTGTGTCAACACAAAAGTTCCGGCTTCGTTGTCTCACTGTCTGCGGTTTTATTCATGCGACCCTTATGTCTATCTTTGTATACTAATACAAGGTTTGTCGTTTGCAAACAACCCTTGCATGGAAAGCTTCAAGGCATTTATTTATTAGATTCGCATTGTTACTGTATATGAGTTTGTTGGAAAAATAGCCTTTAGGGGGTATTATTATATTGTAGTGTAGAAGTTTTCAGAAACCATTTTTTTATATTTTCAAAGTTTACCTATACAAGTATATGTGTACAGAAGGATTTTTTAAAGTTTTAATTTTTTTGTGAGATATGGCTGTTTCCTTCCTCTGCGAAACTTTAAACGCTTTTTTCTCTGAACTTTCTTTTTCGATACGATACCCATGATTTCTCAACTTCTACAGAACCTATTTACTTGAAATCTTTACAGACTATATTATTTTCATAGACCTCTGTAGTAAAAATCTCTTCAGTATGAACTACGCTCATCCCAAAATTTCGATTATTACTACTTTTAAACAATTCAAAAATATCAACATAAGTATACACAATAACAAAAGAAATCAGTAGATTCGCATCCAAATACAAGACTAGATTGGAAAACCATCTCAATGAACTTGCGAAAAACCTGCTCTCTACAAATACTATTAGAAGATTAAGAAGATTAAATCTATTACATTTAGCATATTTAATTTACAATTTAGTTTTATAATTATTTTCTGTATATATTTTGAAAACTTGAAATGACTACCAATGGGTAGTTTTTTGCAATATTATACTACACTTTAGGCATAATAATTACTGAAAGCCTTCTTGGCAGTTGTAATTAGATGGAAAAAAAATCTACAAACGTTGTAAAAAAAATCTTTTTTTCCGACAGTCGCTATTTTCTAAAAAAAACTTGTCCGTAATTCATACGAATGCGTCATTTCTCTAGATTAATATTATTTTTTGCTTTTTCAATGTGCTATAATAAGGGATATGGTCATGTGCCAATTTTTTGTGAGCCCCCACTTCATCACACGCTAGAATTAAATATTTAGACTTTTTATTTTCAATTTTTTTCTGTATGCTCAAATCATTTTTTTAATAACATATAAAAATATGGATAGTGATAATATGTGGTTTTTTGCGAACTTTAAAAAATTATATAAAATTCTTGACTCTAGAACCAATCCTTGAACCTAGATGAAACTGCAATAACGTTTATAATTTTGGTATTGTGAAAGACAAAGAGTTTTGCAAGTTAAAAGCTTATGCCGTTACCTGGATATTATCAAATATTTTTTTAAGATTTTAAAACATGTTTACATATATGATGCGCCACATAACAATTTAATTTAAAAGTTAGTGATTGGATTTTGCTTCAAAATTTAAAAAATAATGAGTTAATGAAAAGCGCGGTAATAATATGGCAAAATCTTCAACTTTAAATGTGCCGGTTTCAGATTAAATTGTCTCTTGCAAAAATTATTAATATGACTCAGGAACATTTAAATGTGGCAAGCTTTGCAGTGAGTAAACTATTCATGTATTTTTGTAAGCAGTCCGTTTTACTTTTATACCTTACACTATATTTGCAATCAGTTAGTTATTTTCATAATAAATATTTTATACTAGACATATTTTTTATGGCAAAAAACGTTGTCCGGGTCAGCTAGCCCATTATTAATTTCTTTTGGTTCACAATCATATTATTATATATATATATATATATATATATATATATATATATATATATATATAACATGATTGTGAATCAAAAAAATATTAAAAATGGGCGCTATGTCAATTCTAAATTTTCATATTATATCAAATCAATTAAAGGTAGTGATAAAATCTTTCATTAGTTTTAAGTTACCAATCCTATTTTATGAATTGTTAATTTTATTGCTTTTATTGTTTACAATTTCCTATTATATTTTTATTATGTTCTGTTTAAAAGTGCCATGTATTTCCCGCTATCGTTTCTTTCAAATAACGGTCCAGTACTAACAATGTTAACTCGATGCTGATGATTATTCAGCAAATAAATTCGTCCACTTACCAATTTGCGCGGTGTGTACTGTACTAAATAAAGTAATCCGTTTTTTGTACGTAATTCGTAAAACTTTCTCTTTTGAAAGTATTATGTACGCTAGTATATATAATTATTGTATATTCATGAACACAAATACATACGTCTACATTTTTATGTATGTCAAGTTGTTATTATATGCAAATTTATTTTATATGTAAATTTTTGTCTTCTCTAACTTTCGATAAAAAAATGCTCTGAGCTATAAATAATGAAATACTTATTCTATTGATTCTAAATTTGGAATATTTTGATTGTTTTTTATCATTTACTTTCCGTAGGGTATGTTATCGAAATTATTAAAAACCAAAAATGATTTATTTATTACTAATATTATTAGATATAAAATAGAGGGTGTTTCTGTGTGCATAGTATATCAGTTACGATCTGCCAAGCTTTGGGTAAAATAGCTTGATCCAATTTGCATGGTTCCAAAAATAGTTAATCTGACATTTTGCAGAACCAACCCAGTAGTTGAGGATAGAGGGTGGTTTATAAGACCGCGGGTAAAAAACAAGTAAAGTTAAGAACTTTTTAACAACAATATTTGAAAGATGCCTTTGAAGGGCCAAAGATGTATAACCAACCTTCACCTTGATTTTGACGACATCGCTGTCAGGAGATAAATGGCAATGTTTGAAAATCCATAACAAAAGTATTTTCTTTCGTTGTTAGTTTTTTTGGTTGTGAGCACTATTGTTTAGTTTACGAGACCTTAATATAATTTTTAAGTAAACGTTATTTAATTGTTTTATAAGATGATTTGTTA